GATTTTTCGTTTCAATTTTGCCTTGAAAATAAAATGACAACACATGTCAACCCTCCTCAAACTCGCGCACTTATTTTGGAACAGAGGGAGTAGAACACAGATAAATCAAAATCCAGTTCTGTTCTCAATTTCGCAAACCATCCGCTGCAAACCCGACCTATCCAGATAAAATTGTTCAATCAAAGCACGCAGTCAGTTTCGCGCTCATTTGACTTTCCATGCTGTCCCTGGAAGAGGTCGAATTCCTGACCAGGCGACGCCGCGCCGCCAGTTTCAAGAAACGAATGAAATTCCTGCAAATGCTGGCAGTCGCTGTTGAGCGACCACTCGTGCCAGATGTCCGATTCGACATCTTAAGCATAACCGATGCAGCCTCCACCTTAAAGTTCCGCTTTGACATCAATGGGATCCAAAGGCTTGTCGTTGCGCTTCGCCTACCTGCCGTGATTGTAACCACCAGTCGGGATCGTTGCAATGTCACCGAGGCTCTATGCATTACTCTGTACCGCATGTCGTACCCAAGGTGCTACTACGAAATGATGGACACTTTTGGTCGGTCAAGAGAATCACTGTGGCGAATTTTCAATGAGTCGGTGGAGCTGATTTACAACAAGTGCTTGCGCGTGCTGTATTTCTTGCATGACATTGTAGCCTCCCGATTGCAAGTCTACCCCTCCTCGATAACAGCAATGGGCTCCCCCATGGAAAATATCTTTGGGTTCATCGACGGGAGTATAATCGAGACGTGTCGAATCACTCAGAAGCGCAATAGAGCGCGCGCTCCCTTTGAAGACTTGCAACGTGCAATTTACAGTGGCCACAACTGTAAATGGCGCCATTGTTTGAACTTTCAAACGATTACTGCTCCAGACGGCATGTGCGTGCATTTTTGGGGGCCGCTTGAGGGATCACGGCACGACACAACACTTCTCCGAATGAGTCAAGTTCACAACTATCTCGACAAGCACCAAGGCACCTTCAAGGGATATTTGATCTATGGCGACCCTGCGTATGGCGTTCTCGATTGGGTTTGCTCTGGCTACAAAGGGAACAATTTGGACGACAACATGCAAGCACTCAACGCAGCAATGAGCAAACTTCGCCAGGCTGTGGAGTGGTCGTTTGGCTTGATGAAAACGAATTGGGCCATGGTGGGATACAAGATGCAGCAGAAAATTATGTTGCAAAATGTCGAAAAGGTAATTATGTCCGCGACGTTATTTACTAATTGCCACTGTTGCTATTACCGCGGAAATCAAATTAGTGATTACTTCAGTTTGTCACCACCAACGTTAGAAGAATACTTGTCGAGCTAGAAAATACACCAGTGACCATTTGTGATTTTTCTATGGCTTTTTCATCTCAATTAGCTGCTGGATCAGGGCCATCATGCCTTCATTGCGCTTTCGTTCGTCTTCGCGTTGCTGAACGCGTTCAACACGGCCCTTTTCTCGCTGTTCAAGTTTCTTTTCATACTTGAACTTCTCAAAGTTGAGCCTTTCACGCTCAAGCTCGAGCTCTCGATCCTGGGCATCGAAAATTGCCTTTCGCTTGCGAGAAACAACGTCACTGTCCGTAGACTCATCACCATCCACCGCTTTACGGGGCCCACGACGCATTACTTGGTCACGGATGTAGGCCACAGCGGAATTTTCAGTAGTCTTGGCTTGCGCAGCAGCTTTGTCCACTTGCCGTTGCTCCAGCGTGTCATCTGAGAGCTGGACAAGCTCGTCCGAGAGTTGAATCTTACCAGTCTCGTCCTGGGCAACACCTGACAAGTACTTTGGCTTTCTTGGAACTTTTTGTGAGCCCGCACCAACTGATAGAACCGCGTCGATGCCGTTTTGCCGTCAATGCCTGCCCGTCCAAATCCTGGAACGTCGAGCAGCTTGACGGCAAGGTGGTCCCATGCCTTGGAAGAGTTCTTTACATGCTTAAATGGCAGGTCGTTGCTGACTTGCGTGAGTAGGCTTAAATCGTCGGTGCCACTCCACCACTTGCGTGATGCTTGTGTCTCCGCGGCATCGAACGGCACATCGTCAGAGGACATTGTTTGTGGTAGTGTATGTGGCTTATGCGGATACAGCGGATGCCTGCTCTGCTCCTAAAATCACTGGAAGATACAG